TGAAGATGCCAATAAGGGATTACTCTAATGTATTGTTAGTTGCTCAAATTTCGTACCTATTAACCATAACTATGAAATTATGAAGGAAAGATAAAAAATGACTTGGTTAAAAAACTGAAAAAATGTTAAAGTAGAGAAACAATTAGCAAATGACAGGAGCAACAAAATTGCATACTACATTTTGGCTACTGATTTCCAGAAATAACAAACCAAAAAAATATGCTACTTCAGAAATTGGAGAAAGAATACTAAAAATGTTAAATTTGGCTCAACAGAAAATGGACTTTCAAAGGATTCAAGAGAAAGTGGTGGAAACATTCCCATATGAAATGTTGAAATTTTGGGTAATGTTGAGATGATATACTTTTCCACATTTTCAATATATATCCAAGAAAACTAAACGTCCCCACAACATATGGAGCACTCCTTCAAATGCTGCTAAAGGCCAAATGAAACCTATCAACCACATCTTCAGAGAGCTTTCCAAAAGCTTTTAAAAACCATTCCCTCCTAAATGAATTTTTACAGAGTCAAGTATTTTAACTATGCTATAGTCAAAAGATACAAACTTTGGTAAACTGGTAAATATGGCAAGTAGATTATTCAAGAACTTTCCTAAGAGTGGGCCTTCCTACCCCCTCTCATCCCACCCCCACCCCCGATTCACCTTCCAGAAGGTGAGGTTGGGGGTCTAGGACAGTGCCTCCCCCTGGTGGATACCTGCCACTCCATTAGCTCTCTTAGTGCTCTCATAAATGCAAAGTGCTTCTGGCAGATGACACAGGGTGAATGCCGTTTAGCAAAATGCAATACTCAGTCTGGGCCCCTTGCCAGGACACTGGAGTTAATGCCCTTTCTTCTAAAACTAGAAGAAGTGGGGAAAAAAGGGAAGAAGGGATGGAGAAAAGGAGGTGAAGTGCCACAGGGCTCTCTAATGACCACATTAAAAACTCCTAATTAGGGCCGGCCGAGTGGCGCGATGGTTAAGAACTGGTTTGGGACGCCAGAGGGCCCTGGTTCGGATCCCACATATGAGGGCCAGTGACACTGCCCTCTACAGCTAAGATGCTGAACAACAGCTCAACCTGGAGCTGGGCTGCCGTGAGTCGCCGGCTGCAGCCCCTGTGGCAGTGGGTTGCCATGGGCTACCGTATGTAGCCAGTAGCCAACAGCCAGCGTGAGCAGCCAGCAGCCGCAGTGAGTGGCCATCCAGAAGCCGGTGACTGATCTGCCTCACCCGGGAAGAGCACAATGATGGTGCCAACTTGGGCCAGTGAAGCAACGTCCTCCACAACTAGACTGAAGAACAAAACGACAGCAACTTGTCTGTTTCCCTTCCCCCAATTCCCCAGCGCTGTTCCCATCCCCCCAATTCCCTAATAAAAATCTTTAAAAAAACAACAAAAACCCCTCCTAATTACAGTAAGGAGTGGAAGTTGGGTCTGAGCTGGCAGGGTGAGTACATATTTCTGCAGCTACATATTTCTGGTGCTTTCTGCCAGTCTATATTTGCCTTCCCCAAATAGAAGCTCACATAGGGTCAGGCTTCACATTCATCTTTATTGCCTGGGTGTAAGTAGACCTCAGGTTCAGGAGAAGACATTGCAGGCCAATAGGAAGATAGCCTCAAGACTGTCAGCTTCTGGAGGGACCTGCAGAGTTGGATTTTTTCTAGCATCTGGGAACCAGGGTCTACCCAGGACCAAGAAAGAATGCATGGGCCCCTGAATATCAGCAACTGGTACTCATAAAAAGTCAATATTTGTGGCCTCTAATCTCAAATAGCAGCCTACACCGTTTTAAGGGGCATCACGGAATTTTTGCAGCCAAAGGGAACAGGCTGGCAGATCATTTAGAATAGTTGTTCTCTGGTCAGGTGTCAAGTGCCTATTGCAGAAGTGCTCAGCCTCACCTTCCTGAATTTTGTTATTAGAGTAGGAGAGACTTACTCGCATGATGTAAAGGGCCCACTATCCTAGCAAGCTCCCCCAGATGATCACCAAGCATCAGAGTGACACAAAAGCATCCAGGTATTATTGAAATGCACATTGTCAGGAGTAATCCACTCATGCCCACTAACATAGCATCACAAGATGGCAATGTGTTAGCCAAGGGGAAGTTCACAGCCTAGGATGCCAGAGGCTTGAGAAAACAGGCTTGGAGAGAAGGGCCAGGTTCTATGTCTGAAGTGGAAAGGGTGCTGAAATGACAAAGAGGGTGTCAAACAGGAGAGATTGGGGTTGCCAAAACCAAAGTTGCCCTAGCTCACTATTTTGGGGTGAATCCACCTCTGCAACAGCCCCACCTAGGGCCCATAGTATTCCACAATGCAGGCTTTTGGTCTTTTGCTCAGAGGATGATCTTTCCTCTATGCCAGGCTATACAGCTAGCTCTACACTGGAAGTCAGGGTACTCAGGAATCTAACGTTGGAATTGTCCTTGACTGAGTGACCCAAGCAGAGTCACTTAACATCTTTGGGGTCCAGTTTCCTCACCTTTAAAATGAAAACATTTTCACCCATCCCACCATTACAGGATCTTGCCCTGTTAAAAAAGTTCTTTTGCTTTTCATTCATCTCTTCATATACTTGCATAAAATGGTATTATATAATTCAAGACTACTACTATTTTCTCCCTTCTACCAATAAGCATATTCACTGATCCCATGATAATTCTCCTGTCTCCTGCTGTCAGCCTATGTCTATAAAAATAACAGAACTTAGGGCAAGCCGAGTGGCTCAGTTGGTTAAGAGCTTGCTCAAGAGTTTGAGCTCTGAGCATCAGGGTACCCGGTTTGATTCATAGTCCAAGCTGAGCTGCCGCTGAGCTGCCAACAGGTGGCAAGATAGCTCAGCTAAAAAAAAAAATAACAGAACTTAATAGCTAGTTATCTTAAGCAAGAGCTATATCTACAATAACCAGTTCATAATTTAAACATCAAAACTGGTACCCTAGCAACTCAGTTCATTAGAGCTAGGTGCCAGTGAGGCTAGTGGCATGGAATCAAGGTCTACAAAAATATGTATGTCTCTGAATACAGTAGTCCCCCCATAACTATGGTTTTGCTTTTTGTAGTTTCAGTTACCCAAAGTGAACTGCGTCCAAAAATATTAAATGGAAAATTCCAGAAATAAACAATTCATGTTTTAAGTTGCTCACCGTTCTCAGTACCGTGATGAAATCTTGCACTGTCCCACCCCATCCCACATGGGCCTTGAATCACCCCTTTGTCCAATACATCCACACCTCATACTACACACCCGTTAGTCAATAGCTGTCTTGGTTATCAGATCGACTGTCGTGGTATTGCAGTGCTTGTGTTCAAGTAACCCGTATTTTACTTAATAATGGCCTCAAAACTTTTAATAGTATATTGTTGTAGTTGTTCTATTTTATTATTAGTTATTGTTGTTAATCTCCTGTTGTACCTAATTTATAAGTTAAACTTTATCACAGGTATGTGTGTATGGGAAAAGCATCGTATATATAGGGTTCAATGCTATCCCTGGTTTCAGGCATCTACGGGGTGTGTGGGGGCGTGTCTTGGAACATATCCCTCGGAGACAATGGGAGACTCCAATATACTCCTTTCCTCCACTGGTCAAACATCTCCAACACATTCAATGAATGCATACACCTACATACAACACTTACAATGCAACTGTGATGTGGAGAAGAACTGTGAACCAATCCTGTGTTTCCACCCAAATTCAACTTTCAAGACCTATTGGGGTTCCTTGAAAGGGTGCAACTCTCCTGATATGGCCAAGTTGTGATTCTAGGAACCCCCCTTGTGGGAGGGGGTGTTGGTGGGGATGGAGGGTGGAAAGAAACCAAAGACTTACAAGGGGAGCAGTGAATGTTTGAGCAGCACCATTTCCCTTCCAGTCTTCTTCTCCCACTACCCTGAGCCCTGGAAAAAGCTGAGAGAAGAGGACCCCAACACCACATCAAATAACTGGGAGATATTGTACAGCTTGGGACAAATTTAGAAAATTAAGACAATTAAGAAAATTAAAGGTGATTTTCTCCACTCATTCAAATTCCCCTCCCTCTTTCCATCCCTCTCTCCTCCTTCCTGTCCTCTCTCTCCCATTTCTTGCCCTCGGGCTCTCCGCCCCCTTAAATCTTTATTTTCAGTCACACTGGCTGCTGACTGGTGCCAGAGCTAAATATTTCGGAGTAACTGAAACACATTATTTAAGTGAATTATTACTGCGAACCTTGTTTTAATAGTGTTACTAATCAATGAATTTAGCCTTGTAAAATCCAGGTTTGTGGGATGCTTTTTTTTAAGTGGAGGTGGGCTAGGTTTGTTGATATGTGCAAGTTGGAACCTAAGTCTTTGCCCCAGTCTCTCTCCCTAGCCCATCCGATATATAGACATCCTCCTTCCTCTGCGCAGCTCTGTTCTCAGACCCTTGGGCCATTTCTTACAAACTCGATGAAGCCTGCTGGGGTGTCACAAAGTACCCCTTGCACGATGCACAGGAAAATAAACCCCAGGGATAACTGGTATTTCTACGTCAGTCACTGCAGCTTGGCTAAACTTTGCCTTTGGTGCTTTGCTTCCCTCCTGTCTTGGCAAGTAAATTAATTAATCAACAACCACAAGAGCCTTGGGAAGACGCCCCGCCTCGTCCCCGCACGAGTCCCTAGTTCCTTGTGTCTCAGGTGAGCTAGGTAGGGGCAACGGCTGGAATGAGAAAGCCTCAAAGGCGCCTCCGAGTCCTTGAAACCAGCGCGCCCCGTGCGAATCCGCTTTCCCACACACGCGCACGGACACCTGCGCAAGCCATCTCAGGAGTCCTGCCCCAACACGGTGGGAACAGTGCTGTGAGCTCGAGCCCCGGATCCCCTCCATGCCCGCCGCCCAACTGCCCCTCTTGGCGGCGAGCACCCGGCTTGGGCGGGTGGAGGTCCCTGCACCGGCAACGCGCGCTCTGCCACCCTCCACTCAGTGAAGTGCAGTTGGAGCCCTCACCGCCCCCGCCACTTACTCTGGAATCTTCAGGCAACTGTAGAACCTAGCCATGGTGTTTCCAAGGGAGCTGGAGGCCTGCCAAGCGCCTCGCCTGCTGAGGTTTGTAGGAGCCAGTGCCTTGGGCAGGCGGGTGAGGCTGCGGAACTCTGCACGCCCAGTGCTCACACACACGCAGCCCCAAACCAGCCAGATGAAGTTTCTTTTCCAAAGCCTTGTTTCCTGAACCAAATCCAAAGAGGGCTGGGCTAGTTCCTTACATGGTTAGGAACTGTTACCTCCCCCTCCCCCCCTGCCTCCAACTTCCTGAGACCGCAACATCCTCAGTGGAAAACACCAGGTGCTCTTTCTTAGGCTCTCTGTATCTCTGCAGGGTAGAGTGTGAGGAGGAGGAGTTTGAAGTGAAAGAAGCCCTAAGGAGTTAGTAGAGACTTTTACCCGAGCAGAGAGGGACATCTCAGAGCTTTGGAAAGCAAATGTAAATTAGTCGCATTCAGGCATTTTTTATTCTGCAGGGCAGGAGGAAGGATGGGGGAGGGGCGGAGGAGAGAGGGGAAGCCTAAAAGGGAATTTAAATAGGCAGGGTGCAAACATTCCCACCTAAATCTGAACAGTACTTTTGACCTGCCTGAATTGTTCTTGTTTAATCCTGAGGAAAACAATTTACTCTCTAAACAAGTCTGGCCACACAAAGAAACAAAAAAACAAGAATGTCCTTCAAGCTGTAGAAGAAATATCAATTCCTTCAGATGAAAGTCCCACCGAAGATCGTATATACACAGTGGATCTCATTTATAACATGACTTACATACATGACACGGATTCAAATATATTGCTGATTAGATTGTGTCTGCAGAAAACGGAAAGAACAGAGAGAGAATAAAAGTGTGACAGACTAGACTGAAAAACAAAAGGACAGCAACTTGCCTGTTCCCCTTCCCAGATTCCCCAACGCTGTTCCCTCCCCCACTTCTCCAATAAATTCTTTTTTAAAAAGTGTGACCTAACGCTGGCTGCCTGGAAGATCCAGTAGAAAATCTTTCCCAACCTCAGTTTGATAAAGGGGTGTCCTGCCCTGGCATCTGAGATGGAGAGATTTGCAATATTTTCATTTCTGGAGTGTCTAGTTAGAGTGTCAAAAGCAAAGGAAATGCAGATGTCTGCTTTTGTCTTTTTTAATTACTGAGAGAAATCAAGGGTTGAAAAAGGTCAAGGTTTCTCCTGTGCAGGCATTCAGGGAGCAGTCATTAAACACTGTGAGACTAGCCTGATATGACAGCCTTTCTAAGTCTAGCTTTCCTGAATAAGAAGGAAGAAAGCCAGGTTGGGGCCTCTCCAGGGGGTCTTGACCAGTCTGTAGCAGAGGGCCTGCTCTCCTCCTTCAGTTTGCAATAGGCAACACCGTGCTTCTGGAATTCAATTGGGTGAGTAGACTGGGATCTCTGCAGCAGGGCAGTGCATGGAACCCTCTCTTCTTAACTTGGGATGACGGAGCACAACTGAGCAGAGGACTAGATTTACTTTGTAGATGTTGAATCCTGACCTGTGGCTAAAATTTCTAGCTAGAATTTCTTTCTAGCTAGAATTTATGGTCAGTTCTCTATTATTCATATGTGGCTTACCCATTTAGTGGGTTTTCTGCAATTATGTTCTAATCAAAGAATAACTTCTAGAGTACCTACCCCAGAGGGTAGTTAGGAAAGACCGATTTTAATACTGGCCAGAGAAGAAGCTAATTAGGAAGGCAAATCTGTGTCATTCCCCTCCCACCCAAATAAACCACACTATGGATTTCATTTTTTTTATTATGCATGCTTTATGCTTATTTGGCCAATTCCTTTCCTTCCTTTCGTAGCTATGAATAATCAGGAGTAGAAGGTCCACAGAAAATCCATTCTGTGAATACCAGACTGTACTGATGGCTCGTTCTCCTGAACTCTCACAGCTATTGTGGTCAGGACTCTGGAATCAGAGCTGGGTACAAATCCTGACTTTGGCTAAGTTTAAGAGGTGTGATAACTATATTTGGGTTTTATGGGGAAATGCCTTTGTTCTTGGGAGATACATGCTGAAGTATTTACATGTAAAGTGTAATGATGTCTGCAATTTATGCTCAAATAGGTCAGAAAAAATGTGTAGGTGTGTGTGTGTGTGTGTGTGTGTGTGTGTGTAGAGAGAGAGAGAGAGAGAGAGAGAGAGAAAGAGAAGAGAGAATGAGAAAGCAGATGTGGTAAAATGTTAACAGTTGGTGAATCTAGGTTAAGCCTATATGGGTCTTCATAATACTATACTTTCAACTTTCCTGTAATTTTGAAATATTTTCAAAATCAAAAGTTGGAAATGAAACCTTAACTCTACCTGCCTTATAAACATGTGTAGCAGTAAATTATTTACCCTTGCAAGTCTGAGTTCCTTCAGCTCTAAAATGGATATATTAATAGAACCTACCACCGTAGGGTTGTTATGAGGATTAAACTGAGATAACAAATGTAATGCCCCCTACACCCTGTCCCTTAGAAAGGCCTCAATAACTGATAAGAATTGCTATTATCATGCCATTGTCATTTAACACTTGATTACATACTGTCTTTTATTGCTTTCAAGGGGTTTCAAATGCATACATCCTATCTCCTTAACTTGGACTTTAAGCTTCTAGAGGGAAAGATGATTTTTTTACATTTTTTCTTGTACCTACCATAGCAGCTGACACAGCACTTTGTGAGTCCTAAATAGTGAATAGAATGCCTTGTTGAGTTGACTTTCAGGTTATTGTTCTGTGGGATCTGTGGTCATAGCATTGACTTGAAAAAGATTATCTGCCCAAAGGCCAGTCATTATTTATGATAAGCTGGTAGAAAAGAATGTAGCATAGCATGGTGGGACCTGGGTAAGAAGATAGGACTACAAAAACAACTATTTGGGGAATAGATTTTTTTTCTTTTTAAAATTGAAGGTAGATACCTTCATGCACAGCCAAATTGGGAGGGAAAGTGTACACCTTTGGTAAATGCCAGGAGGGTACTCAAGGTGTGATTAAAATCTATGGTGATTGTTTAAATTGAAAAAACTGTTACAGTAAAACATACATTGCCATCAATTCCCCTCAAAATACCCCCCTCACTTCAAACACACTTATCCCATCATTCTTGCCACTGTCTGAAGTAGTTCTGGAAGTCCTCTTTCGTGAGTGTCTTTAGTTGCTCTGTCATGGCTGCCTCGATGTTCTGAATCAATTCAAAATGTTGACCTTTCATGGTCATTTTGACTTTGGGGAAGAGACAGAAGTCGCAAGGTGTCAGATCCCATGAACAAACTGGATGAGGATACACCATAATGTTTTCATTTGACAGACATTGTTGTATACCAAAAGCGATGCATGACACAGAGCATTGTCGTGATGGAAGATGATTTGTGGCACACTTTAAAACATACCTTCTCTCAACTGTAGCTCAAACCTGATTGACTGCACTGAAAAAGTTGAAATTTGTCACACACTGTTACTAAGGTTTGATACACCGCTTCCTGTATTGAAGATCCCTGCCTCTCCGTTGGATGGCGCTCTACAGCAGCATTCACCGTAGTTTTTTATCATGCCTCATACATTTCATTACTTGGCTTTCATGATGGGGATGACCTCTGCTAAGCAAATTGGGCACATCCTTAAGATGCCGACAATATGGCAGATTTTCAGGAGTAGCAGAGCACAGCTACCCCTCCCAACAAAATAGAGAGTGCAAACACAATGAGTGACCAGTTCTTGGATAAACACCTCTGTTGTTTACAGAGGGAATCTGATCTTCCTGTCTCTAACTGATGATTGCAGTGAGTCTAAACATGCATGGTAAATTCGACTGAAATCTTCAGCACTAACTTAAAATCCTTGCCAGGACTAAGAGATCCAAGATGACAGAGTAAATAAACACTGCCTGCTTCCTTCTGTGAACATATTAAAATTACAACTAAATTGTAGAACAACTGACCTGGAGAAACCATTCTAAAGTCTGGCTGAACAGAAGTTTTATAGCTTAGAATATAAAGAAGAAAACACATTGAGACTGGTAGGAGGGGCGAAGTTGCAAAATGAACTTGCCCCAAACCTCCATGTGGCATTTGAGAATCAGAAGGTATATTTGTGCCATGGAGATTCTCCCTGGAGGAGTAAGGGACTCCAGCCCCACACCAGGCTCCCCAGCCTGGATGACGGGTGCCAGGAAGAGAAGCCCCCACATCTGGCTGTGAAAAACAGTGGATGTTCTGACCATCTGGGTGCGACAGAAAGCTGTGGGAAACCCAAACACCCTCTTAAATGGCCCAAACACAGACTGTCTCACTCGCAGGCACTCACCCTGGACTCAGGCAGTGAGTCAGTGACTCAGGGAGTGTCAGAGGCATACGGGGAGCAGACTAAGTTGTGTGGCTTCAAGTCGAGGGCTAGAGGACAGTCACTATTTTCTCTGTATGAGGTCCCCCTCCCGTGCAACCAGCAGGCAGGCACCATCTCTCTTGTCTTGAGCCTGACCCCACCATGGCCAAATCTGAATCTGAATTGGTCTGGTGAGCTCTGCTGGGACCTTGCTCCACCCAAATCCCCCAGTGTTGGAGGCACTTTCTTGGTGAGCCTGCAGCCCCCCCCCCCACATTGCACTTTTTAATGGAAAACTATCAGAGGCCCCAGGCCCCAGGCAGGTGACAACTATCCTCGGTGTGTTCTGAGACTTGTTGAGTAGCTCCAGGCTCAGCATTGGCACCACACAGACTCTACATTAACCTGGTGACCCCAACTCTTCTCACTCTAGTGACTCCCTGAGACCCTGCCTCACCCATTCACATACCACTGGAAGCTTTATCAGTGGCTGAGCCACAAGGGAGAGAGCAGGTGGCAGCAGGCCTTGGGGTGTTCTGGCTTTTGGCAGAGCTACCCCAGATCCAGTACTGGTAGCAGCCATCCTGGGTTCATAGTGTGGCCTCTGCCACGTGCTTCTAACCATAGCACAGGCAGCAAACAACCAAGGATCACTTTGTAGCTCCTACCAGGTAGTCCCTGGCCAATCACAAGCAGTCAGTGACCTAGGCCTACACCAGAGCCCCTCACAAAG